TTAATAATAATAACAACAATATTAACACTAATGGTAACAATAATTACAATAAACAGCAGTCGGGAAATGGCCAACAAATTGGCCCCAAAAACAAGGGCTCAGCTCTGGAGACGTTTAATCCCAATCCAAACAAATACTTCTCCACATCTGTTAACTATTTGCCACAAATTCAGTTGAACAACAACTTTGTCCCGCAATCAAGTAATGGACAACAACAACAACACCAGAGCAATGGTAACCAACAACATAGCCGTCCCCCGCCGTCGCCCGCGTCCTACTCATACTCCTCACTCCAGATGCCGATCCGACCCAACACTCAATACCCGGTTCAGGAACAGGAGAAAGAGCCCGACTTTCGCATTCCTCAACAGCCGGAACAGACGCCCGAAGACAGACCCGTTCAGCAGCACTCCCAGGAGGAAGAGTACGACTTCAAAGACAACGATGTTGTGGTGACCACAACAACAACCACCACAACCTCCGCGCCATTCCTGCCGCCACAGGAGGAGGACGTCCAGCAAAAGGGTTTCGACGACGACATCGAACTGACCACCAAATCGTCGGCGGCCGACGACAACCGCTTTGAAGAGCCGCAGCGACAGATCAGTATCGGCGGCGACGACAGCCAAGAGGATCAGCACCAGATGGTGGACCAGCAGCGCGACGACGGCCGCAAAATGACTACCGTTTCGATGCCAATGCCCACAACAAACGCTCACTTCGATGGCGACGACGACACTATCGTTAAGCCATTTCCGCCCGGAAAGCGACCGCAACCACAGCCACAGGACCTGACGGACAACACCTGCTCCGGGGCTCAGTTGTGTCAACACGCTTGTGACGCCCGGACCGACAACTTGATCGCCGACGCCAGTAGTATGCGAGATGTGGTGACCAAACTCAACGCCGACCTCCTGTTCAACACATTCCCATCGCTGGAGGACGAGCTCCAGAATATGATCGGTTTCGCGTCGACCAGTGGTTATACACTAATACTGCCCTCTAATGAAGCCGTGGCTCGACTGCCGCCCAACCTCTTGGAGTACTGGAAGAATAATGTGCACACATTGGCGCCATTATTGGACAATCATGTGGTGGAAAGCGCCCAATCGTTGGAAGAAATGCGCCAAGCTCAAATCATTCAGCCCCGCAGTGGCGTCAAATTGCGGGTCCAGAGGGCCCACAACGACACCTATACCATCAACGGTGAGCGCGTATCCATTGGCAATCAGGTCGCGCCGTCCGGCGGTCAGATACATGTCATCGACGGTATACTGTATCCCAACTCAGACAAGGATATCGTCGAAACGCTAAAGTCGTGCAACCGTTTGGACGGTTTCGTGACTTTGGCCGAGGGAACGGGTTTTGCCGACACTCTTAAGCAAAGTAAGCGCACAGAGTATTCATTATAGTATTACATATTACATGATTTTAAGTTTAGTTTATGTAATAAGCAATTTGTTGTTTTGCTTTCTTTGCATATAATTATACAGACAAACAAAAAACTTTTGAATGTTTTATAATGAGATTCATGTTTCTCGCAGAGAATTCACTACCGGTTTGTCATTAAATACAGTGTTTTATATTAAGACTTAAAAATTCATTTCTCTTTCGTTAGGAAACCGTATAATACTTATTATTGTTACACATATTCTCTCTCTAATTATGATTTGTTTTTCTTGTATTGTTTTGTTTATAATTCTGGTGTATTTTTAAATGCATGAAATATTTAATATTTCTTATGAAATTGTCTTAAAAACTATTTTTGTTTTAAAAATATATGTTTGCATTTGTGTCTCCTATAGGCGGACCGTTCACTGTATTTGTTCCCAGCAATGAAGCCCTACAGAAAGTGCCCGATAATGATCTCGATATAATCAGAAGCAATATGACTGCCCTTAAAGGTTAGTGATCTGACGCTATAACTGTCTCTTTTGAAAAGACAAACAACGAGTTAAAAATGTTTTTGTTTGGAGAAATCGCTAACTTATTAAACTAAATACATTCAAAACTTTCCAAAACAAAGTTTAATGAAAAATTCAATTGAATATGAGATTAAATTTAATTTTTATTTGTTAGAAAAAGTTATAGATTTGATTAATTATTACACGAACTAAACGCTCAATTGATCTCTAATTGAAAATTTTCAGCACATTTACTAAAAACATTATTTTTAAATTTCAACTTTTATTACAACAACAAAAATCTCAATACTTATCATAAAAGATGGTATAATTTTGTGTGTCATTTAGCACTTATTATTTATAATGCTTAAATCTCTCTCTCTCTCTCTCTCTCTCTAATTATGATTTGTTTTTCTTGTATTGTTTTGTTTATAATTTAATATGTGATACCAAAAAAAACTTAAGTTTAAGGTATATGTTATATAAACACAGTTTCACATAAGTGTGTATATAATTGTTTAAATCGCCCAAACAGTTAGCACTTGTCTCCTCTCTCCCTATCTCTCTCTCTCTCTCTCTCTCACTCACTCACTTGAATGGCACATAAATAGCATTCAAATAAATCGCTTATAAAACACCTCTTATTGTTATGGTATTTACTTTTGTATTTATAAAGTGAGAAAATTTTCTTTTCGCCGCAACAAAAGGACTAAATATTAAGTAATCAGAGATTAAGATATTCTTCTTCATAACTGTTGCCCTAATTCACAACAAAAACTACTTCTATATGCACTTCACTCTTATGTATATGCGCTCAATATGTGATACCAAAAAAAACTTAAGTTTAAGGTATATGTTATATAAACACAGTTTCACATAAGTGTGTATATAATTGTTTAAATCGCCCAAACAGTTAGCACTTGTCTCCTCTCTCCCTATCTCTATCATACCTGAGCTACTCGTCCGGCAAGTTATGAAAGTGTCGTATAATATACTGTAGTTATCTATAGTAAGACATGGGTTTAAGGTTGAGGTTTGCGTTACACGTATTTACTATTCATTAATATGGTTTTGTATGTCTTCTTTTGGGGTCCAAACACTTGTCTTTATTTGCATTTATATCGAAAAACAAACTATAAATACACACTTTTTTTATTAACTTGCATTTTAGCATAAAATCCAAAGTTAAGTGTAATTTGAAGCTTTAAAAAGTGTGATAAATATCAAAGTATTATTTTTTATATAATATAAAACCATTTATACGTGTATTTGTTTTCTTTATTATAGCCAAACCATTGTGTGTTTGTGTGGATATTATTTGACAATTTATTTTTAAAACCGTCTGTTTTGAGGCTATTATTAAATGCTAATAACAAACATAAAAAGGAGAGAGAGAGAGAGAGAGAGAGAGAGAGAGAGAGAGAGCAAATACTTCTCTCTGTCTATATTAAGAGTGATATATCACTGGAGTTTGTGCTAAAAAAAGTTGTCTTAACTGCTAATTAAACAGTAAAAGAAAGAAAAACTCAATTTGTGTTTATTATAAGCGATGAAAACAATATTTCAAATATTTGGCGGCTATTCGTCAATCTGTAGTCAAAATAACACTCAAAGGGATCGCTATTTAGCACAGAATCGCTCCCTATGTTTGGCGGTTAATGTGCTAAATATTGATCCCAAGAAAATAACATTACAACACAACTCATTGGATCGTCAATATTCACTATACCATACAGTCTATGACATAATATTCAACACATGTATTATATAACACACTCTCTAAACGCCAACGCTTTTCTAGCCATAGAGTATAAGTTACCACACAATGTGTTTCTATGGTTTGGAGATAATATTCACATAGATTTTACTGAATATTATTTGTTAATGATATGAAAGGCTACAGAATTTTAATGAATTTTCATTTGATTATGGTACAGAATTCCTGAAATACCATGTTGCGCACGGAGCTTACTATAGCAATGACTTAAAAGATGGTCAATTCATACCTTCGCTCATTGATGGCCAGTATATTCAAGTCGGTATCCGAGTCGACGGCTGTAGGCGTAAGTATTCACACCATATATTGTTATCATTTGTTGAGCACAACAATCAATAATTGAATATTTAATGAACAGGACGTCTGGTAGAGGCGAACGTATCGCCGCTATACAGGGCCGACATCCCGGCCTCCAATGGTGTCATACATGTCGTCGATTGGATATTGAAACCGGCGGACAGAGACTGGTGTGAGAATGTTATACTTCCCCGTTAACGATACCGTTCCTATCCATATAGAGATACACTGGATATAACGTGTATATACTGTATGACAGACTGACATCCCTTTCCCAATGTGT